CTAATATTAAACTGAAATAATATACTAGCGGTTATTGAAGGCACAGAGAGTTTTTTATTTCAATCAATGATACTAATTAATGAATGTTATTCTCTGTAGGTGTTCTGGACATTTGAAATATTACACTCAAATAATGAAAAATAAAAAAATCTATCAGAGACAAAAATATTACATAATTCTGGAATATGTCGGGCTCTTATTTGTAGTTATCAGAAGTTGCTTATAATGTTCTGACTTAACCAAAAAAATAAATTATTTTACGTCGTACAAGTAGTGGAATATGTATAATAATATATAATTCGTCACTGACATATATATGCTATTTAATTTTTTAGTAAAATAATGAGTAAAGGTTGATTCTCACTATACCTTCCGTATCAGCCACATTCCGTTTCCCTTCCGTTTACATAAAATATTATATCATGTAAATATAAACTATGTATATAAACAATGCACACTATCTGTTCTGTTTCCCTTCCATTCATATCCTTTCCTACCATACATTTTGTGGCGGAAGGACTGAAGCGTATTGGAAACAGGGATGTCAAGTTCTTATTTTTGTATCAGCTCTGTGAACATTTTGCTGATATTTATTTATTTTTTCGCCTCTTCATTAAATCTATTACCTTTTTCAAAAGATACAAATTTTTAAAATAAAACTTTCGTTATGATATAAAATATAAATTGTACAATAATGATACGGAACGGAAGCATAAGTATAGCGTGAATACAATCAAAAATACGGAAGGGATATGGAACAGATATGGAATACGCTCCATTAGTGTGACGTCATGTAGCGGAAGGTCAGTGTCGCAAAATCTAAACAAAGCAAGAATATAATGGGATAATCTAATTTTTCTTAATTTTTTATTATATTACTCTGTTCAAAGAATATTTGTGTCTTTCTGAGTAAGTATATAAGCGCGTTTACTATACGTATAATTACATAAAAGGATACATATAGGGATAAGTAGTATGAGGTTATGTCAAAACAATAAAGAACACGAATTTCCATAGTATTATAGAATTTATTAACTATAAAGTGCGCTGGTACGGTTCAAAATTAAATGGAATACTTGGAAAAATACAATTACCCGAGAAAAAAAACGGATTAATAGCTCTGTTAATAGTGGGTTAATTAACGCTTTGTTTAGATTTTGCGACAGTGACCTTCCGCAACACGACGTCACCACTAATGGAGCGTATGGAAACGGAAGGTATAGTGAGAATCAACCTTTATTCATACTACATCACTATACCATATAATTATGATATCCCCACAGCAACAAACTAGCAACCCTAACATAGATAAGCCCAAAAAATTCCTGCACCTCCGCCTATCAGAGTAGACAACATTGATCATTTTAATGAATTACATGCTCTCGTGAGCCAGCGTCCTGGGGTCCTGATTAAAGTAATTCATGATAAAAATATTAAAATTAATTTACAGGATGAGTCAAATTATAAAATGCTCACAGCAACCTTAAATGAAAAAGGGTACACTTGGCACTCTTATGAAAATAAGCAGAATAGACCAATTAGAGTTATGGTTACCAAACTGCACCATGATATCGAACCACAAAGAATAGTTCAGGAAATGAAGCAACGTGGCTACAAAATCATAGATGGTACTCCTAAATTAAAACATAAAAATAAAGAACCTATAAACATGTTTATGATTTCCTTCAGGCATGACGAGAGTATTGAAATTTATAATATGAGGGCTATATTAGTAGTAAGAGTGTAAATTTTGCAACTAAGAAAATGCAGGCTTGTGCTACATTGCAAAAAATGCCAAGCATATGGACACACGCAAAAATATTGTGCTATAGAATCACGATGCGTAAGATGTACTGGAAAGCATCTAACAATAAAATGTGAAAAACCAAAAAATGCTATATCAACATGTGTTCATTGTGGAGAAAGTCAAAGAAGATTCGTTCAAAAAAAAAAGAAGATTCAGAAGAATTTGGCATCAAACTAGATCATCTACTTTCAGAACTAGTATTAAGGAGCGTGGTCAACGCCCCCTGGTATATCCGAAACAGTGACCTCCACAGGGACTCGGAAGTGGACACAGTTACCCAAACTATTACCTCATTCGTCAAGAGACACGAAGATCGAATTCACCACTACGTTAACGTTGAGGCCATCCAGCTACTCGACAACACATTACACAACCCACATCAGAAGGGATCAAACCCTTGGAACTAGTTAATATGTGTTAGTGAAAAGGCAAATAGTGCTTGTATACGCGATAATATTAGTGTAATTAAGTTAATAGTAGAAAATAAGGAACCCTAGTGAGTAAGTCCATAGTATAAGTTATTCAAATATTAGTAATTTAGGTTAGGAAAAAAATTGCTTTTTGATCTATATTAGATCAGATTGTAAATATAGTAAATTTCCTACTGGGTAATTTCCTAATAAAAAAAACATATTATATACACGGTGATGCAAGGAGAACGAGAGTTTTTCTGTTTACACTTTATAATTTATTAGTATCTATAATTGCGCAAATTATCTGAGTCTAAACACCCCTTAATACAGACTACTAAATGTTAAGAATAAATTTTGATTTATGTTTTATTCTTAATATAGTTTCTTTCATTGATAACTGTTGTTAATATAATAAAATACAGCTACAAAATCAATTACGTTACAATAATATTTATATTTTTTTATTGTTAGTTATGTAGCCCCGAAATATTTTTAAACATAATATGAACAACTCATCAGAACATATTTAATATAAAAATAATGCTGTATCCAAAAATGTTGGCCTTATCAAGCACCTATAAATTTGGAGCTTTTAATTTATTTTTTCTCGGACAATTTCATTCGGTTAAAAAAATATATTTCAATTAAATTTTATAGCTTCAAGGTACATATTATAGACTTTTTAATTTAGTATAATAAACACATCGAAAAAAAAGTAAATATAGAGCGAATAATAAATTCACGCTCCCATCCGAAGTGTAATGGGACTTAACCATAAACGTAAGAAAAATGACGCTAACTGTAAATTGGGCATTTTACGATCGAATTATGCAGGTAAAACATTACTTTCATTTTGTTTACACAAGAAAGTTTGCGAACACTGAATAAATAAAGCAAGTGCATAGGCTCAGTCCCATTATTTACTTTTCGGGAAATTAAATTGACTGCGGTAGCTGACATTTACATAAAAAAAAGTAAAAGAAAAGCTGGTTTAAGACTGGCAACATGTAGATTTTTATATTGGACGCCGGGGTTCATTTATTCCATGTTAAGTATGGTATTTTTATATTATATTACAAATATATTTAAAGACTATATGACTAGTCTAGTCAGGCACAGAAATTGAAGCTAAATTTTTGAGATGGAGCTATACAGTGTTGCCAACTTTCTGAAATAGAATTTCCACGAATACGGTCAACATTTCCCGTTTTCTATGTGCACGGAATATTGGGACACTATCTAAAATCTTTCGAGTATATCACACTAACAGGGAGCTAAAAACTTCAAACTTGAAGTCTTGGTCTAATGCCAGAAAAGTTGTAAATAAAAGGGCAAAATTGGTTGGCGTGATTGAAAAAGTATTTGTTAAAAGTATTTTATTGCCTTGAAAAAATTGCAAATGTAATTTTTTCAGAACTATTTTATTTGTCATTGTGTGGTTTTAAATGGGAATATACCGGGTGCGTCTCAAAGGCGGCTCAATCAGTAGTCATTGCGGCACTTGAGTTAGACAGCCACTTCCGGTCCAGATACAGATGGAGTGTGACGTAAATCAGGTAAGAACGGTTAAAATACGCTAATAAACAAGAATAAATAGAACCGCAAGGTTTTAACCGCTTTGAAACAACAGACTTGTTCGTTTTTTGTTCAACCTGTTTATTTCTATTTTAAACCTGTTTTTTCTTGTTTAAACCTGTTTATTATTGTTTATTAGCATATTTTAACCGTTCTTACCTGATTTACGTCACACTCCATCAGTATCTGGACCGGAAGTGGCTGTCTACCTCAATGACTACTTCACTCCTATAACTTTTTTATTTTTTCCAGATAAAAATAACTAGATTCTCGTTTTTTAAAAAAAAGTTATAGTTGTGAGCCACTTTTGAGACGCACCCGGCATGTAGATATAAAGTTGGTCCAACAAGTCTTTAAAGGTTTCGACATTGAAAAATTGACAAAAAATATTCTTTATGTGTGCCTTATAATGACAGATACAACTCTCATTGTCATATATACCTTGGTTGGAGAGACCATAACTTCTTAGCCCGTGGTTACATTGGATGCGTGTCCGTGCGTTTTTTTGGTCGTGCGTTCTCGGGCGTGCACGCAGCAAAAATCAATCAAATGGTATCTACGCAGGCGATTACATTGCATCGGAGTTTGCGCGTCTGTGCACGTACGTCAATTTCCGTTGGTCGGATGAAAACAAACTGGTTTGTTTTTTTAATACGTGCACGTCCGAGCGGTTCAAATTTTGTTTCTTTGATCCCAATACATTCTAGAAATATTTGAATATTTTTGAATACCAGGTTTAATTTTATTTGGGATATATTAATGTTGATGGAGACATTTTAAAATATTCAAAAAATTTGACCGGGTGCTGTCTTAATTCGCTAAATGTTTTATATATTTATTTTCTTCTCCTCTTCTTGCATATAAATCATTTACCCAACATTTTCTTCTTTTCATGAGTAGATATTTTAACATTATGTCGTCACAAAGCATCAAAGTAGTGGCGCTTGATTTGACAAACTCGACACACAGGACACCATGAACGCGCATCTAATGTAACCACTATAATAAAATAGTCGTGCGAGTAAATTTCGTCAGAGCTCGCACGTATAAAAAACGCACGGACCCGCGTCCACTGTAACCGCAGGCTTAGAAATATACCTATCAACGTTAAATATTTTTATTAAAATTTTGTGTGTTCATAATTAATTTTACAAAAAATATCAAATATATGACATATTTTTAATAACATTTAATTTATGTTTCAGATGGCAACAGCAATTATGGCTTACGAACTCGTAATTATACAGATGTATCAGCAAAGGTATAGCTCAATATAACGATTCCAGAAATTTACAGTTATTAAATTTCTAATTCAGAATAGGGTCAAACATAATTATTATCTCTACATTATTTAAATATGTTTATTTTTATAATTTAACCAGCAATACTCGAGTTATTTGAGATATATTTACATGTAAAATATATAATATATTTATATGTAGATATATTTGTTAGCAAACTAGTCATGTTTAGTGAAATGAATTATAAATACAGTCCGTAGATTATTAATTTCTATATTGAAAAAAAACCTATAATATATAATAAATTAGATTTTTGTGTCTATAAATAGATATTAGGTATTTAGTTTTGTATTATTATTACCTATTCTATATCGGTATCAGTCCATACTTGAAGTACTGTAAAATTTTCATTTAACATTATTTATCATCATCATTTTCAGCTTATTCAACCATTTCCAATAATTATGGTGTAGCCCCACTTCACATATTTAGACATATTTATATACTCTCTTTGTAGTTGGGCCCATTGTTGTCTATTGTTGGCTATGCGAGCCCAAGTTATCCCTGCTAATTTCCTAATAGCATGGTCCCAAGTCAGATTTGGTCTTCTTCTAGGTCTCTTAATTCCTCGTGGGTCCGTTCTGTTGGCAGGTGTCCTGGCCATTCCCACTTGAGGGATTTGATCCTGTGGATGACATCAATTACCTGGGTCACCTTCTGTCGTGTCGATTCTATTCTATTACGGTCTTTCTTGGTTATTCCTTGCATATTTCGTTCCATTGAGCGTTGCGTGACATGCAACGTAGTTTCCTTATAATATCCGTTTTAAGTGTCCAGGTTTCGCATGCGTAGGATATGACGTAGGTAGTACACATTGATCGAATGTTTTCTTCTTGAGATAAAGTGACAGAGGACTCGCCGGGGTAGTTTAATTTTATTCAGCTGGTTGGGGAGTAACGTCCTCATGGACCCAAGTTACCCGATGCCGCCTAGGGTAAAATGGCGACCATTACCAACCACCATTATACCAACCGACAATCACCCCACCGAGACAGCGTGGTGAGGTATGCCTCACTAGGTCCAAAAACCGGAACATTGTTTTATCACCGGCGGCGGCGCGGCGTTGGGCCAACGTTCCGGTGTTGACACCGGCACCGGTGTTCATTTCGATACCGGTGTTCATCTACAACACCGGTGTTCACCTCGACACCAGTGTTGGTCTGGACGCCGGTGTTTATCTCGATACCGGTTTTGTCAACGACACCGGTTTTGATATCGACATCGGTGTTGTGGTAAACGGGTTAAGGAAGAAACAATTTTAAATAATAAGTTCAAAATAAACCTGATAATAATAATGTTGTGTCGGTACCAGCGGCGTGCGGTGACAATTATAGGCGGGGAAGCGAATCGTTAAAAAACCGGTAACCGCCGGTTAACCACTCATATTTGTAATTGTCTAGTGAATTTTTTTACCGACTTCTCCACTCTGGTCTCTAAATTGATAGGAACCGTTGGCCTACCACACTTAATAATGTCACTTTTTTCTTGGAAGTCCCGACTAGAAAATCCCTTTTTTAATAACACACATACAACACAAACACAGTCTAAATTATTGTCCACACTAGCAGAAGCAGAAAATTGTCCTTCTTGACTCTCCATTACAAACGAAACAGTAAACACTAAGTTAAATCCGAAAAAAATCCAATATTACCTACAAAATCGCAAGCGAACCTGTCCCGATAAATTAAAAGTCGCGGAAGGCGGCTGAAATATCGCTGCCGTGGCTAGCAACTACTGTACGCGATTAAATTTGTCGTTTGCGTTCGAGGTCAATAACACCTACATGAAGGAGGGATAGGCGATCGGCGGCGATTTCCAGGCACGCATCCATCCAGTAAAAGGCTAATTAAATTTACTACGTTTATGTAAGGTTTCAAATAAATAATTTTAACAAATTAAATTAATCTTTTGTTATAAAATAACAGTATTATTAACGTTTAACTATTTTTTTTATCTTTAAAAAGTTTAAGGAAGGGGTGCTTCCCCCGCTCCCATGGACCGCACGCCGCTGGTCGGTGCCTATTTTTATCATTTATTAAAGCGCACCGACTTTAACTTAAAGCTTTCAAATTTAAGTATATTTTTTTGCTGGACTAATCACTAAAATAAAGTGGAAGCGTCAGATAAACAATTTTAAAGTAAAAAATTGTTTAATCAAAAACAAACAGAAAACTAAACTAAAAAATATTAAATTAGAAAAAAAAAACTAAAAAAAAACAAACAAATGGCACCATCGACATCGACACCGACACCGACACCGGTATTGATCTCGACACCGGTGGTCATCGCGATACCGGTGTTGAGATAAACACCGGTGTCGGTGTTGACACCGGTATACCGACTGAAACACAGCTGTCATCAACACCTAACACCGATGTTCAAATCTCAACACCGAACAGGTCTATACCTCACAACTCCCACTACTAGATGAACCTGGAAAAATAAAATATATTTAGCGAATTTTCGTATACAGGGTGTTTTATAAGAGTGAAAATTTGGTTAAGAATCTTTTTACCGCAAATTTACAATTTTTAAAAAATCGAAATTTTTACCAAGTACGACTAATCTGTATTGAAATTAGAAAAAAACAATTTGATCGGGTTTTTCTTTTTTTTTTCTTTTAAGGAAAATGCGAAGTTTTTTATACAATGGTCCTAAATGGCACAAAAAGCTTTGTACATTCTGCATATGCCAAAAAAATATTGATATAGAGTGTATCTGAAAGCAGATAACTAACACAGGTTAAAAAAAACTTCAATATCAGAATAATATTTTTATTTATAAAATAAGTAGATAAATTATAATAAAATTTAAGTTTATTTAATATTAAATATATTTTTTGAACACCCTGTATACATCGGTCCAAATTTCTGTTCAGCTAGTTTAAGATACACGCACTATATCAATATATTGTGGGCCTATGCAAAATGTATAATGCCTTTTGTACCATTTAGGACCAAATGTATGACTATAAATGCATATTTTTCGAAAAAAAATCGTATTTTCCTTAAAACAAAAAATTTAAAATAAATACCATATTCTTTTTTCTAATTTCAATACAGATTAGTAGTACATAGTTAAAATTTCGATTTTTCAAAAATTGTAAATTTTCGGTAAAAAAGATTCTTGACCAAATTTGTACCCTATTATAAAACCTGTATACGAGAATTCGCTAAATATATTTTCTAAAACCACATAGCATCTTACTCACAATAGATGCGTCTAAAACCTGGTCCAAACCGCATCCCAAAATCGGAGAGAGAAAAGAAGAGCATTTATTGTTTACAATCCCGCAATTTTGCGGATCCGCGGAATTGATTGCTTTAATCCCGCGGGTTTGCGGGATTGAGATTTTGGTGCGGGATTGCATTCCCTAGTGCTAAGAATCTGCAAAGACTGGGTTTTAATCATCCGCTGCTGATGCTAACATGGTTATTGAAACGCGCGTCCAGTGCAAAAGTAAAAGTGTTTTGGTATATTGTGGTCAATTAGTGTTTTATTTTGCCGTAGTCTTGGTCTTGCGTAAGTCTTGCACTGATCGATCTTGGTCTTGCAAATCTAATGCTACTAGGTTAACTTTTAAAAGCGAAATGAACTTGCCACCAAAATTTGCAATTTTTTCAATTATAATTTCTTTGTAAAATAAAGTTTTTTTCAATATGACAAGGCAGCGTTGGTGATTATTGTGAACTATATATTACTATGAACTGCCCATCATGTTCGCGGTGTGGGAAATGCTTGGCAGGAGGGTTTGAAGTCGCGAAGCGTTACCAGCTTCATTAAATGAACTTCGCTTGGTTCTTAAAGAAGAATAGGAAAACATAACGCAATATGATATATTAGTATGCAGCCTCAGTGACAGTATGAATGAACGTATACAGGCAGTTATAGCAGCCAGGGGAGGCAATACAAAGTATTAGGGTATTTGTTACATTTTTTTTCTATTTGTATACTTCAGTATTACATAATATGTTTTCTTTAATATCGTTAGTTTTGTTATCGTTATTAATATTTATTAAAACCAGGACTGTAAAGTTAGCCTTTAATGCTTTTTTATGTAGTATAGAGTATCCGAATGCAGCGCAATATGACGTTACGAAAATACTCACCAAAACCATCTCGTCTTAAAAAATTACATCAAAAGTAATGATAACAGAAAAAATTGCAAATTGATCCTGATCAGTTCATTTCGCTCTTAAAAATTAACCAAAGCATGTATTGACGTAATCCAAAAACAAAATGTTTAGGAGACATGGTTCTAACTGTAAAATTATATTTTAGGAAAATTTACACACGAAATTATTGCACAGGGTGTTTTAAAGTTAGGATAACAAAACAACCTCTCGATTAACCCTGTATAATATGCCAATTACTAAAGTTTACAAAAAACTGAGTTTACGAATTAAAGTTGATATAATTCATATATAATTACATACAGTTTGTTGAAAAATTCATGAAAATAGGGCTAAAAATAACAAAAATATAACAGTTTAAATTTGACCAAAAATTTCTCGGTTGCGTTTTTTTTTGCGTATTAGTGTAGTACTTCTTTGAATGTATCATCAACAACTGGCAGTTATTCTCTTTTTCAGAAAATTGAATAATATATAATATGATTTTTAAATAATTATTAAATATTCAATTACACACAAAGATAAATGTTTTTTAAAACAGAACTGAAATAGCAGAGCATAAGAATAATGTAACAGTGCACTTAGTATATGAAAAGGAAAGTTATTTGTCACCGAAAAATAAATCTCATATCGTAGATGCTGAAAATACGATCATAAATCTTATAATAGCTTTTATTTGTATTTCTATCTAAAAACGTGATAAATTGAAAACTCCTGCTTAAACATTATATTTTTAGATAAAACTGAACAGAGGATAAGTTATTTCAAGTCGATATAATAAATTTGTCTCTCCTTGTTAAATTACGCACAAAAAGAATTTGATGTGTTCTTCTTTCTTAAGTTATAACGAGTTATAGTTCATCATACAGTCTTAGGGCTTTGA